GTCCCTGTGTAGACTTCCATTGAGTATTTACATACCTATGGAATTCATTTATTCACTTATTCATTCATCAAAGGTTTATTGTCTGCCTACTATGTACCAGGTACTGGAGGGGCAAATTTAACAAAATATTTTGACCTACAAAAACTAATAGGTAAAAATCTTTGCCCTCATGCAACTTACATTCTTGGAAAAAGGGCAGCAAGAAACAAAATGAGTGTGTGAAGCATATCTTTGATAAAGGGTGATAAATGCAATGGGAGACAATAAAGCAAGGAAGGAGAATGGAGAATCCTGGAGTGGGGGAGAAGACTTCTCAGAAGGAACAGATATTTGGAAAAGTATCTGAAGGAAGAGAGGGAATGAGCTGTGGGGATGTCTAGGGGAAATCTCAAAAGCTGTGATGGGAGAACCTCTCTTGCATGTCTGAGGAATGCCAAGGAAGCCAGTGTAAAAGTGGGGTAAGGTTAAGGTGGAACAAATGGTAGGAAATGAGACCAGAGAAGTAAAGGGGACTAGATTTTTATAGGGACTTGGGAGCCCTTGTGAAAACGTGGGCTTTTACTCTAAACGAGTTGGAAAGCCACTGGGGGAGGAAGAGAAGAGTGACATGGGAGTTGACATTCATTTTAATAGGAACATTGTGGTTGCTGTGTAGAGAGCAGACTGAACAGAGTGAGGGACGAGGCATTAGCAGGAGATTAGAGCACTCGTCCAGGCAAGAAATGAAGGAAGCTCGGTAGCAGGGTGATGGTGGTGGGGCTGTGAGAAGTGATTGGATTCTGGATATGTTCTTAAAGTAGATGCCCAGTCAAATAGGTCAGTGTGAGAGACGGAGGGGAAACAAGGATGGTGTTGAGATATTGGTCTTGGGAAGCCAGATGGAAAGATTTCAGGAGGAGCAGATTGTGTGTATGTGAGAGAGAGAGAGAGAGAGATATTGGGTGTTTGACTTCAGATATGTTAAGTTTCAGATGACTATTAGATATCCAACTGGAGATGTCCAGTGGGCAGTTGGAAGTCTGGAATTATGGAGTAGATCTTCAGCATCTTAATATTTGGAACCGTGAGACTAGATGTTATCCCCAAGTCACTGAGTGTAGACAGAGAAATGAAGATGTCCATGGACTGGAACGTGGGACTCTCCAGCTAAAGTGAGGGACCCTCCAGTTTAAAAGAAGTGAGAGAGATGAGGGTAGGAGGAGGATGAATCATGCAGGAGACTGAGAAGGAGTGGTCAACCAGATGGAAGGAAAGTAAGACAGAAGCCAAGTGAAGACAGTATTTGGAGGA